TGTTATTAAAAAAAAAAGGAACGGGTTTGACTGCTAATGCTCTTACCACCGATCGGGAGGGCCGCTTCATTGTATTTGATCTTACTTATGGCAATGACAAATGGCAAATCACATATTAGAACCGGTAGAATATTACTTCTACTGGGAGATTTCAACTGTGCATTAAATTTGAAAGATTGTTCCCAATTTATGGCCAGATTTGACTCTAGTGCAGCTTTACTGCTGTCCTTCATTAATGAGAACAACATAGCAGACATTGGAGAACAGAAAGGACACGGAGTACATTAGTACACACATCTCCAATGCTTTTCTCATGCACAACTGGAGCGAATATACGTCTCTGGAGAACTCTGCAAGGTTATTTCAGGTTACACGGTTAAACCTGAATTTTTCTCAGACCACCGCCTCATGTCAGTTACCTTTGGCGAAAAAGAAAAGGCATTCATTACGTCCTGAATGGCGCCTATGGAAACTGAACACAACCTAGCTGACAAATATTTGCCGATTGTATCCCCAAAATAATTTTACACATACAACAGATACCCTCACTACACATATTTTGCGAATGGAACATGTTCAAACAAAAGGTGAGAACTGAAGAATCTCTCGAACATGTTATCAACGCTTTTAAGAACTCTATAGAGGCGCAGTGATTCGATGGCGCTCACAAAAATGTCTACTTGGAGAGACAATTGGGCAGGGGTCCTTGGAAGATGAGTGAAGGTATGCTTTAACAAAGGAAATAGTTGAACATAAAAATGAGAATAGATAATGCTTGGGTGTGGGCACATTGGTTTTTCATTATTTTTTGTACTGCACTGCTAAAGTTTACAATCTGGGACAAAGAAGGACGACACTCACACACGAAAGGCGCAACTAACAACTGGTTTACTTTTCTTTCCAAACAAGCACGGATGAAAGAAAAAACACATTAAAAAGGTAAAAGAGGGATAGATATAATCAGAATAACGCAGTCATACAAGTGTAAGCATGTCTCTTGTTCATATCTTGGCTGTGGCGGCCAATGCACGTGTCCGTTACCCATCCTGATGCGGGATCTTTTTTAGCACGTCTATTTCTTTTTTGTTAAGAGAAACCGACGGTTCACTAACATACATTCTGTGCTTTCCTGAAGTCACGAAAAAGGACTTCATGATTTCTCGCTTCGTCCTTTGACTCCATCTTTCTAAGATAGACATTGCTCCAAATAATGCATCGCAGGGGCATCTAGTACAATCTGCAGCGAGATTCCCTGGAGCTTGCAACTGCTCACACGCGTATTTGTGTTGCCGTAGCCTCTCACTTAAGCACCTGCTCGTTTGCCCCACGTAAAATTTTCTGCATGATAAAGGTATTTGGTACACCCACACACTCAACGCACTCTACAAACTGAAACCTGCGTCGTACTTGACACCCCACTTGACCCCCCGCGTGATCTCCCGATTTACTGACCATGTGACAAAACCCTTTAAGCTTAAGAGGGGCGGATAACGCTACACGGACGTCGTGTTCTGATGCAATCTTTTTGAGCCTGTGCAAGGTGTTGTGGATGTAAGAAAGAACTACCACCTATCCATGGCTTTGCTGCTGCCTTTCAGTTGGTTTAGACATTTTTCGGCTACCGTTACCAGTAGTGTTTTTGGATAGCCACTTGCTTCTAGACGATCAATCTGCTGTCTCAGGCTGTCATTTACCCTGTGGAGGCATGATTTTCTCGTGACCTGCGTTAAGCACCCTGATGCAACACTTCTCGTAACTAGCTTAGTGTGGGTGGAGTCATAGGATAAAATTACCTTCTCCCCTCATGCCTCATACATCCATGTGTGAGCTTCCCCTATGGTCAGGTTGACATCCAAAAACTGCAAGCAACCACCCTCTGGAGGTTCATATGTGAAATCCAGTCTGCCATGCACTTCCCTGAAATGGCTCATGACCTTTTCTCTGATAGTGTCTGCTAATTTGTCCTTCGGAAAACACCGCGAAAAATCATCAACCTATCGGAAACACTTCACAACAACTGTATCTTCAACATGCTTTCAACCATGCTTGTTTGGAAGGAAAATAAACCAGGTGTTAGATGCACCTTTCGTGTGTGAGTGTCGTCCTTCTTTATCCGAAACTGTAAACTTTAGTAGCACAAAAAAAAAAAAAGAATAGATACATTAGATATTTTAGAGGCCTTTGTGGATTATTACACTAATCTTTTGGGGCATCCGAACTGAAGAGAATTCAGCTATAGAACACCTTGTAATCCTCTTGCCTTCCTTAACAGATGAGGAAAAAGAAATAGTAGACGGTCGGAATAGTCGACCTTGCAGGAAATTCAAAATGTTATAAAAGCTCTTCCTTCGAACAAGGCACCTGGACCCGATGGCCTAAATCCTCAATTCTAGAGGACATTTTCTGAACTGTTGAGTTGATTGCTACTTGATGTCCTTAAAGCTGCATGAACGCCAAGCACTACCGCCAACTTTAAATTAGGGTCACACTGTGCTAATTCCTAAAACAGAAGACACAATAACTTTAAAAAAAGATTGAAGCTTATAGACCTATATCACTTCGTAATGTGGACTATAAAATATTTGCAAAAGTTTTAAACAATCACTTACACCTCGCTATACATAATCTAATCGGAGAACACCAAACTTGTAGTATACGAGAACGAAACAATAAAACAAACATGCACGTAGAAAGATCTGTGATAGACTCTATCCAATGAGCAAGACGAAGTAGTCATAGTTCAACTTTATTTGTCCAAAGCATTTGATAGAGTAAGCCATCCTTTCTTATTTAAAATACTTTCTCATGCAAACTTAGGAAGCATGCTATTCGAGGGCGTTCGGTTCTGTTACAAGAATAGCAGGCTAATTGTAAACGACTCCCTTTTGTTCATGATGAAAAACAGCACGAAAAACGCAAGAACACTGAGGAGAGAATTACACGCAGGACAAGGTGCTATCAACTTCCTCGTTTTGAAAAACACGCGGGCAATAGGGTCTTCTCTTTCACTGTGGGGTCGCTTCTTTCCCGTTTCTTCGAAGGAGAAGTTATTCAAGGTCCAAAAAAAACCATCTTACTGTTCCTGTGTTAACAAATGGTTGGCTCACGCACATTGTTTTCTTTTTTGCTCTGTGGTAGGCCTCAATTATCTCCCTAGACAACTGAAATTGGCGTTTATACAAGATATTTGTGTTGCTGAATCGTGGTTCACAGTCGAAGTCATGGCAATGCATTACTAAATGGGAGTATGCTGCACTTTTTAACGAACTGTGACATTCGCTGTCATTTGTTTGATGCACGAGTGTCCGCAGAAGTATGGGATTTTGTGGACTGTCCCCTTTTTGTGAGGCACGAACTGCATGCTGTCTTAATGTGTCATTCGTTGTTGCCTGTTTGACTGCTTATGTTTGCACATTTTTTTACCGCGGTTACAATACTGCTCAGTTTGTTGTGGGCTGAGAATATGACATTAACCCCCATATCTCGAGGCGACTCTCTTTTTTCCGAGAAAGAGGCGGTGAATATTTGGTATCACTGCTGCATTCTTTTTGTTTTTCTTAGCTTTATCTTTGTGAGAAACTAATCTGTAACATCAAGGTGGATCCCAAAGAAACAGCACAAAGGAGTCCCATACCATTTAAATCAACAAAGCTTTGTCAACAACATTTTTTTTTTCAGTGATAATTGTAAAAAAATTAATGTCATAAATATTGCCAAATACTCAACAACAAAAAAAAATGTTGGTAAAAAATTAAAAAAAAAAAAAGGCACTTTGGATTGAACCCGGGTCCGCTGCATATGAAGGGGACAGACACCCTTTCCTAACCTACTAGTAGCAAGTTCATTTTGCACGCATTGGCACCGTTAGAGTTCTCTCCAGAATGCATCGTACTCGCAGAGTGTCGTATGGAGAACTGGCCTCGAACAAAACTTACCAAATGCATTGAGCGCAGACTGGTGCTGTCGCCATCTATGTTGTAGAAGGAGTACCGATTTCAAATGGAAACTAGCGTTGTCGTTACAGGTGGGTCATACTTTAGCCTTGGTGAGGGTGTCAAGAATGAGAGCTTTTTCAAACAAAATACGACGGGGCAAGATAGCTGATGTAGGTAAATATTAAACATGATGTTGTCCAGGCCTCAGGTAAAGTCATTTTGTTTAGCTTTCTCGGATGCTTATTAGGCAGTCATAGGTTTTGAAGGGGGAGCTTTGTAGACAAATGTTCAATTTTTCACTCGCACACGGATGGTGAGATAGATCTCGGGGGCCGCTGATCCCTTTGTGCTGAGCATTTCTTTACACACTGGTACATTTCAGTGTCCGTGCTGCAACGGAGCGACTAAAAGCTTGCAAATAAAGCATGGATTGTCAACTGCTTCCTTCATGAAATAGCAGACGCTCACAATTGAAGCTCCTGTTCGATTCCGTTGCCCGCAAGACGCGATTTCAGAAAATATACTTTTTTTTTGTTTTGTTTTCGGTTCTGCTGTACGAATGACATATCGCAGCAGACGAGCCCTCGTCGTCTGCTCCCGCTCCTCGCCGGAGCGAGGCATGACGGGATTGCATTTTGGCGCACGCTCGATTTTCTCGGTGCAGCATGCACGCGTGGGGGTGCCGACGCTGAAACGAACCACTCGTGGACTGCCGGCCCAAAACGAACCGGCTCCACGCTGCGGAGTGCCGTGAAACGAACTCGCTATTAAGCTACGCTAGAGCTTCAAAAAACTCGTTTTGACTTTCGGACGGCACTCAAGGCGCGAGTGGAGTGCCTTTGGGACGGCAATCGAACGCTCTGCAAGACTGCTGTCGGACGGCACTCCAAACACTACGTTTTGTATAACGTTTGGCTTTTTTTACAACTTTCCCTGTAAAGAACAAATATGTTGTCGCCGAAACTTCGCAGGACGACAGGGAGCCAAAATCCACCACTATACGATCTAAATGGCATAAGCTCTCTAATTGCGACAGGTCCCAAACGATTGATGCGTCACGGTTACCTGCGTAGGCACTGCCTCCGTCAGTTGAATCAGCATCATGATTACATCTGTGGAGCTCCCAGATTTCAAAACATCGGCGACGTCGATGGTCTTCTGCGGCGCCGGTTTCTTGGAGATGCATAGTTTCTTGAGGGGTTTCGGCGGCTCTTCCTACACACCGAAAATTCCAAACATGACAGTCGATAACCACGGGACTAGGTAAGAGCAAAGACATTGGTAATGGCAAGGAACTAGGAACTTACCTGCAAAACTTGGCTAAACTCCGCCAAAGCTCTCTTCTTTAGGAGAGCAGCCATGATTATTTTGATGTTTCTTTTGTTTTGTTTTTTTATAGCCGTCCAGAGCCGTCTAGTCGATCTAGTCTTATCAACTTCCGGAAACTTCAAGCGACTTCCGGTCAGCTATCTGAGCGCCGTCTCTTATTTGTTGGTATCACTGATCTCTGTGGTTTGTACCGTAAAATTAATTTAAGTTAATTTTAATTAATTTAAGTTAGTTTAATTTAATTCAGTGTCTGCGTCGAGCGGGTCGACGCAGACACTGCCTTTCGGGGCTTTCGGCGGTTGCCTGGATCACGACCAGCCTGGATGACCTGGGTTAAGAGTATGCTTCCGTCATTTAAACTTTGGTTCGGCGAGGTGTTCAGTTGAGGGACAATAATGGAGATTACCGACAATAACGTGCAGACCTTGGCAAGCTACCTGCAGCAAACGCTGCAGGCCGACCCGACTACGCGGCGCACGGCGGAGAAGTTCCTCGAGACGGTGGAGGTGAACCAAAACTACCCGGTCCTGCTGCTAAACCTCGTGGACAAAGCAGACATCGACATAGTGATCCGAGTTGCCGGCGCAATCGCCTTCAAAAACTATGTGAAGCGCAACTGGGCAGTGTCCGAGGATGGCGCGGACAGGATACACTCGAACGACCGCAACACGGTCAAGGAGCTCATCGTCGGCCTCATGCTGCGCAGCCCGGAGCAGATCCAGAAGCAGCTGAGCGACGCCGTCAGCATAATCGGGCGCGAAGACTTCCCGGCGCGGTGGCCCAACCTTCTGCGCGAGATGATAAACTACTTCCAAAGCGGCGATTTCCACGTGATCAACGGCGTGCTGCGGACGGCACATTCGCTCTTCAAGAGGTACCGCTACGAGTTCAAGTCACAGGAGCTCTGGACGGAGATCAAGCACGTCCTGGACAACTTCGCCAAGCCGCTGACGGACCTCTTCGTGGCGACCATGGAACTAGCCAAGACGCACGCCAGCAACCCGGTAGCCCTCAAAGTCATCTTCAGCTCGCTGGTTCTCATCTCCAAAGTCTTCTACAGCCTTAACTACCAGGACTTGCCGGAGTTCTTTGAAGACAACATGGAGGTGTGGATGACGCACTTCCTCACCTTGCTCACAACAGACAATAAGCTGTTACAGACGGATGAAGACCAGGAGGCTGGTTTGTTGGAGCAGCTCAAGTCGCAGATCTGCGACAATGTGGGGCTTTATGCTCAGAAATATGACGAAGAGTTCCAGAAGTACCTGCCCGGCTTTGTCACCGCTGTCTGGCATCTGTTGACCACGACCGGTCCACAAGTAAAGTATGACATCCTCGTGAGCAATGCCATCCACTTCCTGTCGTCGGTGGCTGAACGTCCTCACTACAAGCAGCTTTTCGAGGACACCAGTGTGCTGAGCTCGATCTGCGAAAAGGTTATCATCCCCAACATGGAGTTTCGTACCTCGGATGAAGAGCTCTTTGAAGACAGCCCAGAAGAGTATGTTCGTAAGGACATCGAGGGTTCTGACATCGACACCCGCCGGCGTGCTGCCTGCGACTTGGTGCGCGCCCTCTCTAAGTACTTTGAACAGAAGATAACTGTCACATTCTCACAGTACATCACAGACATGCTGCAATTGTATGCCAAGGATCCTGGCCAGAACTGGAGGAACAAAGATGTTGCCATCTACCTGGTGACCTCCATGGCCGTCAAGGCACAGACTGCAAGGTTGGGCACCACTCAGACCAGTTCTCTCGTCAATGTCGGAGAGTTCTTCCAAGAATTTGTGGCTCCCGACTTGAGCAGCTCCAACCTGACAGACTTTCCAGTGCTCAAGGCGGATGCCATCAAATACCTGATGGTGTTCCGCAACCAGCTGCCCAAGGCCGTGCTTTTGCAGAGCCTTCAGAACGTTATCGATCTTCTCCTGGCACCCAGCTATGTGGTGCACACGTATGCGGCGAGCTGTGTTGACCGGCTCTTCACCATGAAGGATCCGCAAGGGAAGGTAGCAATAGCGGCAACAGATGTGTCCAGCCACACAGAGCGCTTGCTGAAGAACCTGTTTATGGCATTGAACCATCCCGGCTCATCAGAAAACGAGTATGTCATGAAGGCTATTATGCGGACCTTCTCACTTCTTCAGGATGCCATGCTGCCGTACCTGCCCTCAGTTCTTCCGAGTCTGACGGCCAAGCTGCTGCAAGCAAGTAAGAATCCGTCCAAGCCGCACTTCAACCACTTTCTCTTCGAGGCTCTCAGCCTGTCCATCCGAATTGCCTGCCGCAAGGACCCTGCGTCTGTGGCAGGATTCGAGGGCACCCTGTTTCCAGCCTTTCAGGACATCCTACAGCAGGATGTGCAAGAGTTTGTGCCCTATGTGTTTCAGCTGTTGTCGCTGATGCTCGAGTGCCACACTTCGCCTGTGCCGGAGCCTTACATGGCGCTGTTCCCGTGCCTACTGGCACCAGTGCTGTGGGAACGGCCGGGAAACATTCATCCTCTTGTCCGGCTGCTCCAGGCATTTATCGAAAGAGGCTCGGCTCAAATTGTTGCAGCAGACCGACTCACAGGGCTCCTGGGAGTCTTCCAAAAGCTCATTGCTTCCAAGGCCAATGACCATGAAGGCTTCTACATACTGCAGTCGCTCTTGGAGCACATGGACTCTGGAGCTCTCAAGCAGTACATCCGCCAAGTGTTCTTGCTTCTGTTTCAGCGGCTGCAGAGCTCCAAGACCACCAAGTTTGTGCGCGGCTTGCTCGTGTTCTTCGGGCTGTTTGTGTACCGCTATGGTGCACCCACGCTGGTAGCGACAGTGGACGACATCCAGGCCAAGATGTTTGGCATGGTCCTGGAACGTCTGGTCATTGCGGACGTCCAGAAGGTCTCCGGCACGCTCGAGCGCAAGATGTGTGCAGTCGGCATCACCAAGCTCCTGACGGAAGCGGAGGCACTTGTCCAGGGAGAGTACAGTTCCTTTTGGGGCCCACTGCTTCAAGCCCTCATCGACCTGTTGGAGCTTCCGCAAGATGAGAGCATTCCAGACGACGAACATTTTGTAGAGGTAGAGGATACCCCCGGCTATCAGACAGCATACTCTCAGCTTGTGTTTGCGGGAAAGAGGGAGCACGACCCGTTTGGGGGAACCATTGCTGATCCCAGGTTACACCTGGTGCAGTGTCTGCACAAGCTGTCCCTGACATACCCTGGAAGACTGGGCCCTCTCATCAATGCTTCGCTCCAGCCCAGTGCCAGCAGCTTCCTGCACCGGTATCTGCAGATGGCCAACGTTCAGCTGGCCTGAGCTGCCAAGCACTGCCCCTTGTAACATATTCGATGGCTGGGACATTTTCAAGGACCAGCTGTTTCTATGCGTTGCACAGCTGGTTGTTTACTGCTGTAGCAACTTCTAGTTGATGTTTGTCGTAAACTTGCTTGGTGTCTCGTTGAGAGCATTAATAAATGCTTCATTCTCTGTGGCCAAGTTTTGCCTTTGAGATCATGCTACACTCCATTTCCTGAAAGCTAGTGGTCATTAAATGTGAAAAAGAAAGCGAGGAAGATAAATTTGGACACGGGGCTCTTGAGACTAAAATCATTTCTAAAAGACAATTAATACATTTTTAATTCTTTTCGACCTAGATGTCACTGGTCAAATATTTATAAGTATCATATTTTAAGAACCTGCCCTTATTAATTTAGTAAGTGGCATTTTTTACACCATCAATAATGGAAGAAGAGCGAGCTTGTGAATCTAAAGCTCAATAGAGGACACAAAAAGTACACACATACAGTCTGTACTTCCAGAATCTCTGGTTTCAGTTATGTTCATCAATAGATTGTTCACTGGCCACCATAGCCGTGTGCAGGGTTACCAACCATCCCGGATTCCGCAGGATTGTCCCGACTTACTGTCCCTGTGGGACAGCTAATTGGCCAGAATTCGGTCGAGGCCATCCAGTTAAAAATTTTGTGATCTAATGCATGCCTAACAATGTGCATTACACTGTGAAGCACGAATCGCAAGAAGCAGTGCTGTGGTAGCTAGCATTGGCTGCGAGCGTCCTTAACTCCTTAGTCACTTTAGCATGCAAGCCGTAAATCGGGGCAACACTGGTGCTGGGCAGTGCCTGTTATTGTTTGTAGAAACCCTTGTCTCCCCCTTCTCCTTTGCACTGCCCCCCCCCCCCCCCCCCCATCCCGACTTCCTTCATTGAAGAGTTGGTAATCCTAGCTACGTGCTTTGGCAGTTGAAACCGTGCTAGCAGAACTTTCATCAGATTTAGATCACACATTCGGAGCTGTTCTTGGCAGATAGTAAAATTACTTTACCTGCACCTTGTGCCAATGACACGCGAATACCCCCTATAATGACTTGGTTCAGTCTAGTTAGGATCAAATTTAGTCAGTTTCAAACTGCTCATCCATGCTGCAATAGTTTTTGACTTCGTATCTGCTGTCAGAGCAGTATATAGACCTATTGCGAAATTACCCAAGCATCAAGGAGAATGCAGGGATTGGTGTTCCAGATGCTGCACTTCTCAAATGCCTCAAACAAATTGCATCTTGCAAGCACATTCATCAACGCTTTATTTTGATTACTTCAAATCTTTTATATGGGGAAGGCGTGCACGCGTGGAACACCAATCCCTGCATTCTCCTCGATGCTTGGGTAATTTAGCAATAGGTATATTGGGAGTGGCCAGTTTATGATCTCACCACCGTAACGATTCCCTCCCAAGTGAGCCAATCGGCACGCGGCGCAGAGCGAGAGGAACGCGCGCATGTGCTCAGAACTCCCGGCTGCTCCCAGCTGTGCGGGAAGGGCCACCATTTTCATTTATTCGCACGGTGGAATGCATGGAATCAACATTCAAGTTTCGCTTTTTTGCATTCATTTTATTGGCTCTGGCAAGAAAATGATAGTGTTATTCCTCGTGGGTTAAAAAGCAAACGAATGAAGTTTTTTTGACATTTGACAGCAAACTTTTATTCGAGCGAACTACGCGTAGCCCCAACAGTACTCTGCGCCGAAAGTGTTGC